GACGTCACGAGTTGTGGTCTTGACTACTTATCACACCGTCAATCGCTCACAACGTCAAGTTCGATGGCGTGTGTAAAAAGCACGGAGGAAACTCGGAGAAGCCGTCTTCGCACCGTGGACGTTGACAGTCTGGCTTATACACTCTTGTTTCCGTCGATGAATGGAGAATTTTAGTTAGGGTAACCATATTCCCCAGGTAGAAAATTGTACACTCTGGTTTAAGGGGGAGGGGAAAGGGAAGGGGGGGGGGGGGGGACGATTCAAACGTGAAATTGTGTTACCATGAGATAGATTGTTCCGGAGTCGGACAAGCGACTTTCGTCGTCACATTTACACACTGTTTTATTGTTTTAAAACGGGACTCTCCTGCCGAAAACGGGACGTCTGGTCACCCTAATTATAATCTTTTTTTAATAGGTCACAGTCAGTGTTTGGCCAATCGTGGGAAGCCAACCCCATGGCAACGCATTGGCCAATTGTCGAGTGGCCGCGTAGCGTCCGCAGCAGTCCATTGTGAGCGTGTAGGAGAGTGAAGAGCCACCCCCCCCCCCCCTTCCCCCCAATTCGACGGCTCCCGGTCTTCTAAGCCGCGGCTCGTTTCGTGATGGTGTGAGTCACCCGCGCTTGGGGCTCGGGTCGGGTCGCCCGAGGTCCCCCTGCGGTGTGGTCAGTCAGCGGGCGGCGCGGGCATCGGGAGTCGGGAAGGGGATTCGCGGAGTGCGACAGTCGACGAGGTGCTCGGCTCCGAAGAAATCTCTTCCTTTGCACGCGCAACTCTTGTTATATATACTCACTGGCAGTTTAAGAAACTCGGGGCTTGGCCCGGGCATCTCTTTATCGCCATGCGGCCAATCAGATAGCCGCATTGGCCGGTAAGAAAACCGAGGGACCAATCACGAAGCAAGACGAGTGGACACGATACAGGCCACGCTCGGCGTTTCTTGGGCTGTCGGTTGCTCTATAGACCATTCCGATAATTGACTTCTGCGCGCTTCCGTCTTTGTCTACTGGGGTGTCCAAGGCGTTCTAAGCATGCGCAGGAAGGCTCTCTTCTGCGAAATATTGCCGCGCGCGCGTGGCGGACTTGGTAACGGACACGGCTGCCACGCCGAGGAGCGCGGGGTTCGAACTCCAAATATGGTCCGGTCCTTGCTCTCGTCGATCTTTCCTATTCTGGGGAGGCCATGCTCTCAGCTGTCATCGTCTGTTCTTCTGGTTCAGAACGTACCGCGTGAGGACAGTTGTCCTTCCGTCGCCAACGCAAGATGCATTGCACCTTTGCAGGCACCAATTCGCCTCATTGAACATTTATTTTAAGCTCTACATACGTCTAACATCTGTTTACATCTGTGACAATATCAGACACCACACATGCGTCGATAGACCAGTAACTGAACATTTTAGAGCGCAGCTCTTAAGCGCTTGTTTCCGCCTTGAGCGGCGTCGCCGTCAACGTGACCGCGCGTTGAATTATGGGACGCTTCCCATAATGACGTCACGAGAGTCACTAGAATCACGAGTGACGTGACTCGTAACCGCGCGTTGCATTATGGGACGTTTCTCATAATGACGTCACGAGGGTCACTAGTGTGACGAGTGACGTCACAAAGGTCACTCATGAAAGTCAAGACGTTCACCTGACCTTCAGGAATCACGTGACGAGGGTCACTAGATTCTTGAGTGACGTCACGAGGAAGGAGGGACGGAGGAGGAGTAGGGGTAGAGAATGGAAGGAGGAGGGGAAGGTGGAGGATGAGGCGCATACCCTCCTCTCCCTACCCTCCCCTCCTCCTCCTCAAGAGCTGCGCTCTAAATCGGCGCTACAGGGAGCTGTAAACGTCTTTCATTTTTTTATTAGCTGAGTCATAGGCGTCGGGAAAGTGCAAAGCAGGGGAGTCTTTGATTTTTCGTTGACCCCGAGCTCAACCAGGGGCATAAGTAGACTATTTGCAGACGACGGAGGTTCTAGAAGCCAGTTTCAGATACGTTTTACTTTTATTTTATCGTTAATCGAGTATGAATTAGTCGGCTACAGTTCAGATCGAATGACCAGCATCCCCATTTGTTTATAACACATTGAAGAAGGCCGGATACGTTAGACCTTTAGCCTGGCGGATTAGATGCAGTTTCAGGCGGAGTCCTACCTGCAAGCCACGCCGCAGCGCGACTGCTCGATTAAGGCCGCCAGTAAACATATTTCTCGTATACTGAGTAACGGTTAAGAGTTGAGTTCTCGTATACGTCGCGAAATTTTATTTATTCAAAGAATAAGCTCATTCAACAGAAAAAGGTATGTTTAGTGCACTGGTTCGTCGTTATCAAAAAGATTCCCACCCCCCTCCCCAAACGCATGCAGAATTCATTTCAGAAATCAAATTTATAACAAAAACGCGTTTTTTTTCTCATTTTTTAGAAGATTTGCGCTATTGCTCAAGCAAGTCCAAAAGGTACTGTCGACTGTTACGTATTGGATTAGGACGTATTAAATTGAATCATCATCAGCATCATAACATCATAACATCAACGTTCTGTGTTGTCCAGTTTCCTACTTCCTCCTCATCTCGAGGAATGTTTCTGGATATTGAGAACACCCTCGCCCAAATATCTGCAGTGATCATCTAAACTTGGTTGATATTATGAAATGTAATATTCTCTCAATACGTTGCCAGTTTTTTTTTTTTTTTTATCTTGTGTGTATGAAATGGGAAAAGGGCGCAATTATCTCATATGTATCGTTTTTCATTGTAATATCATTTGGTAGATGAAGTATCGAAATAAATATAATCAAACTAGCTTCCTTGCATAATTTTCATGTCTCATTTATTGAATTGTGATATCATACTGTAGTAAACGCACCACAAATTGTTATCAGCTGGTTTGTAGCTTCCGTGACACCGCACTGTGTATATACCTTCTTATATACACAGTGCGGTATATACCTGGCCTGAACCCGGCCCGCGGGACGGACTGGCCTGAACCCGGTCCGTCCCGCGGGCCGGGTTCAGGCCAGGTAGCACACATTTTCTCGAAGTTGTGCCGGCCTCGGGCTGGAACAAAACAAAAATTTCGGGCCGTGGCTGGGCAGTCGTGTGCCGCGAATCCTAAATAGTTGAAGAAAAAATTGGGCTCATTGATCTTTTAGGTTCAATGAAAGCTAACAAGCGAAATCCAAAATCACAACAACACCGTTAGAAAAAAAAGAAAGAAAAGACGTTTTGCATTTGGAAAGTTTTCACGTGGATAAAAGGAAACGTATGGATTCCACCAGCATAGTGGGAAAGTGCGGTGAAGAAAACGAGGGTGCTCCAGTCGCAGGGTACAACATTAAAGTCTTTTTCCTCCACTTTTCGAAAAAAAAAAAGGGAACGTGAGCTTGATTTTGTATTTTGTGCAGGGAGCCTTACTATGCCGTCAAAGATATGCTAACTAAAGATAATTTTATGCTTATACAACCTTTTGAAGATGCACTAGCATGATTGTGATTGTTCCTTCACAAAACCTGTAGATAGGAAAGGTCTCTGTGAAACGAATTGAACAACGAAAAATCCGAAATATCTCCAAGAAATGCACAAATAAAATATTGGCCACTTTTTTTTTTTCAAATTCACTTATGAACTGCGTATTTCGCCCATATTCTCAAAAATACATCGTCTAAATCAGGATAGTTATCGTTTCAAAACAAAAATGAAGAAAAAAGAAAGCTCGGTTCAAGTTTAAAAGAAATTGAAATCAAATATGCTCGCTTTATGCTGAAACAGTTTTTACGTTAAAGCCCGCAAACGTTTTCGGGTTCATCTATTTAATCTCTCAAGCTCGGGCCGGGCTCAGGCTATTATTAAAAAAAAAAAAAAAAAGATATATATACATTTTCGGGCTGGGGCCGGCATCAAACTTCCGTCTAAAAATTCTGCCGGGCCCCGGCAGTGTCTCTTCCGGGCCGAGCCTTGAAATTAAAGATTCTGTCGGGCTCGGGCCGGGCCCGGGCCTTGCCTCTGCCGGGCCGGGTCGGGCCGGGCCTAGAAATTCCGGCCCGTGCAGTGCTGTACTCAAGAGACTCCTTCACCTCCTCTCCTTCCTTTTCTCCACTAGATGAAAAAAAGAACAAAGTTTAGGTTAATAGACCGATCTCACCAGCCAGTTTGACTACGCCACCGCTGCCGCAATGCATCGAGGGAACTTCAGTCTTTCTGCGCGTGCAACAACCTCGCTGGAGCTCTGCGCGTGCAGGGCACGAAAGTCCCGTGCATTGCCGATTGCCCCCTGTGAACTAAAGTAATGGATGCCTCGCGCATGCGTCGAACGCTTGCGTTCGACGCATGCGCGAGAGTTCATTTGGTACGTTCTATTGCCTTAACCACAGAGTAATGCCTTAGCACTTAGCACCCAAGCCATAAAGTGGTGTCTCGCTAATTGTGTCCACAAAAATAGAGCACGTTAATGTAAACATGCTCGGGCTACAAGCAACGAGATCGAGAGGGGTCTCTCCTTTCTACCACCCTGGGCTAGAGCCAGAGGAAGGCAAGGGAGAGGGGGGGTTGAGGGGCGAAGCTGTCGCGCATCATGACGACCCGCTGCTGGCCAATCTCACTTCCCAAAGCAGGGCCAAAGTCCACAACAGAGGAAAAGACCCCCTCCGAGCACTCCCCGAGTCCCGGCCTGATTCACCACCCCCCCAAAAAGGGGGAAGGAAGTCCGGGGAGGGGGCGAAAAGAAGAGAAGGGGGCCCCGTCCCCGACCGCCGCGCTGCCCGCCGCCCCGCGAACCCAACCAAAAAGAGGGGGGGCGAACCCCCCCTCATCCGCCCAAGCCTCGGCCCCATCCATTGCTGCGGCCCTCTTCTCGCGATCCCCGTCGGGCGTCGTCCGTTGGAAGTGGGGGACGTTCCGCCAATGAACGCGAACCACCCAGGCTTCCCCCCCAATCCCCCCCCCCCCCTTTTCGGGCACGTCGTTTTGAAAACCGGGGCCTGCTGCCCTCGACTGGCTCTCCCAGCTGCCGCCCTGTCGGGGTCTCCTACTCGTGGCCAGATTGCCAGGAACGGTCGCCGCACCGACAACACGCGGTTTTTGGCAGCGACTCGTTGGATTTCATCGCTGGACCTGCGTGTTTTTATCGGTCTTAGGCTAGTGCTAGTCACTCCACCACTAGTTCGTCGCGCCCTCCTTTATTTTGTGTTTGTTTAACGTGCAAGAAGTGTGACCGAGGGTGACGTTTGCTGCTCGGCGACGGGACCCGGAATGACTGTGCGATTCTTCGTGTTTTCCAACTATCTGGGACTGGTTATCTGCGCCCGTCAGCGTAGCTGATTGCAAGGACACAACTGGATTATCAGCGCTGAGCAACCACAGTGGGGTTTCCTTTTTGCGGCGCAGAGAGACGCCGTTTTTTTCCGCTACCAGTCACGCTGCATTTTGCCTTCAAGCCTCGTCGCCACCGATTCTTCTTGCGTATTGAAGATAGTAGTCGGTTCCCTGGTGCGGTGATACATACAGTGAATGTTCCCAACTGACGACAATTACGTCCTTTAAAAGAGGCAAAGCGTTCTTCCTTCTGCCCGGGGAGGGCAGCATATTACCCTCGTGACTGGATACACTGCCCTCACTACGTCTCCGACGTCGGGAAGAACTGCCATGGACAACGCCATCAGGGCGAGCATCTGGACTCGGCAAGAGACGAACCTCCTGCTTGACCTGTGGGAGCAGGAGACGCGGCGACAGAACCTGGACGGCACCGCCCGCAACTACAAGGTCCACCAGAGAATCTCCCAGGTCCTGGTGACAAAGGGCTACTGTCGGTCACCCATGCAAGTCCGCGAGCGACTCAAGCGCCTCCGCCGCGAGTTCCGCGAGTCTCGGAGGTGCGAGTACTACGACCGCGTGGCGGCCATCATGGCGAGCAAGGCCGAGAGCAACGGTGACGTCATGACGCATGACGGCGCCGATATGGGCGCCAACGGAACGATCCCCGAAGGTCGGTTGACAATCGACGATGACATGGGTGAGTGGGCGATCGTTTCCTTTTGCCTTTCTTTTGCAGCGTGGGCGTTGTTAAAGGTAGCGGAAGGCGCGAAGTCGGGTAATGGAGCTGTCGAGATCCGTGCTTGTCTTGTGCGTGACGTCGGTTAGGCAATAAAGGTGACTTGGAGTACCTTCTTGGAATTACGACCACGACGACCCTGTTGGATAGGGTAGATCGAAGTTTGAGAACTTGAAACGAACGAAAATGATGCGGGCTTCCGTGTGCTAATAGCGGTTGCCTGACAATCTGACATCAGAATTGCGAAATTTCAAGGAACGTGTTTTACTCTGCCCGAATTGGTCATGTTATGTCTTAATGGTGGGGCGTAACGGGCAATGAGAACATCAGAAACATTGTAGGCTGTATTCGTGAGGCTGAAACTGTCTATGCCTCTGAAAGAAGGGCACGAAAGCGACAGATCTTTTCTTTGGCAAATTGACGCAAGTAAAAATGCGAAAACTTCAGAAAAAAAAAAGAAAGTTCGCTTTTGCCGATTGTTTAAATATCAAAAACGTCGCATAATAAGCACCTGTAGATAAAATTGAAAAAAAAGAAGAGAACCTTCTGTGCCAGGTTAATAACCGATTCAACATTTTTTCTACCAATTGATTTATCAAGGTCACACTGACATTGCAAAAAGAGCAGAATTTTATGTATTTTCGTTACAGTTCTATAAACCGTGACCCTTCAATTAGACTAAACACAAGAAATAATTAAAATTTGAGACAAGGAAGCAAAAGAGGAGACATACAGTCGGTTCGCCAAGAGACAACAATTAAACCAGAGACAATGTACACAATACATAACACATCTCTACCGACAGAGAAAGGATTTGAAAGGCCAAGCGTTCGCCATAATGGTTGTGAGACTAATAAAAAGAAAATGTGAATTTTTAGTATAGTAGGAAAGTAAGACATATGGGCAGCGGCGTCTCTAATTTACACGCTTCGCAACTCCCAGACAAAGCAAGTGAAACCTTGCGCCCAATTTCTCAACATCACAAACAAAACAAACAAAAAATGGTGAAGGTCACGTGAAAATTTTGTTCGAATGAAGGGTGTCTGACCGAAGTGCCTCATATGAGCGTAATCTTCAGCGCTCGCGAACGCATCGCTTTTATTTATTTTAGTTATTTAGAACAAAACTGCGCGTCCGTAATAAAAGCGGTGAACTGGCGTAAGTTTAGAAGTAAACAAGCTGAAGTTTTAGATTGGTTAATATGTGTACAGTACAATAGCGCTGTATTTTGATTGTTCGTGTTTATTCTGAAATGTCGTTACGTCGTCTCATATCGTAAAGTGACGTGATTCAATCTTAATTCGGGAAAATATTACACTACAGCTGAGCGTGACGTGGTCTTTCATTCCCCCTTTCAGGCGACAGTCTAAAAGGCGAAGATTTTTCACAGACAAATTCTGAAAACGAAACGGGTAAGTTTTTTTATCTTTTTTTTTAATCTTGAAATAGTATACACCGACCGTTCTTCCTACCGCTGCATAAAAGTATTCAGCCAGTGTTCATTGTCATACCGTTTTATTTTGGTGGGACTGCTACAGGAGCCTCCGATCTTGTTGGGCTAGTAATGCATTCTAAAACTTCAATGCTGTCTCCAGCAGGTCGGCCACAACCCCCACGCTTTGTGAAAGCCCAGCAGACCCTTTACAAAAATACACTTTATCTTGCGCCGCAGTGCCAATTGTCCAAGGTCGCCGCATTTTAGCCATGCGCTCTTGGCACGAAATTGTAAATGAGATGTGCTGTGGGGCGCTTGTCTGTGGGATTGAATCCAGTCGCACACAGCCGGCTTGAAGTGACAACTAAAACGCGCTGCTTGGAGATTTTTTTTTTTTTTTTTAATTTTATCTTGAGGTGAACTATTACAGATGTACGGCAGCTCGATCGGAGAGGGGATCGAGGGGTCGTGACAGGTGTACACTATAGTAGCAGTGGTAAAACACTTTTATTACGCCAGAAAAAAAAAAAAAAAAAGAAAAAAAGCAGTGCGCGCCAGTCTCTACGAGGCCTGGACGTCTTGCAGGACGCACTCGCACACAAACACACACGCACAGACATATATATGTAAGTTAAGCTGACGAAGAACATCCCTCAAAAGTCGCACGTATCTTTACAATTAAATAAACTTCAAGTTCGTCTGTTCCTGGGTTGTTTCTACTTTCAATTCAATTCAACTTTATTGACTCCAGTTTGGAGAACTGGAGTCAATAAAGTTGACTTTATATCATATATATACATATATTGCAACGATGGAATGTTACAGTGATAATGGGTTTATTATTTACGGTCGCTTGAAGATGGCCGTGGGAAGATCAGCCCGCTTTTTGTTCCAAACCTCTTCTTCCTCCGTTAAAGACCGACGTACACTTCGCACTTTCCACTTCTGCCCTCCTCCTCCTTTCCTATATCCTCTCCACTTCTTACCTTGCCCCAACTTGACCCTTCTTACAGCTTAGGAGAGTGGGAGCGTTAAGAGGATAATCTCCTTTGCAAAAAAAACGAGGTTGTACAACGGCCTTCAAGGATCTGCCATCGCTCGCAGACCCGCAAATGTTATCTTCATCACAATATATAGCGGGTGTTTAAGCGAAGACTGACAAAAATTACTACAATTAGCGTACTCGAGGTAAAAAGATAATTTTCTCTGGACCGCATTGTTCGTGGTAGCGGACGTCAGAAAATGCGCAGTATAGTTACTAATTAGTTTGCAAGCTAATTAAAAATTACTAATTACCTTTGTAAGTAGTGAAAATAGACATATGGTTCCAATTAAAAAACTTGCTGAGCGTCATCGAAAACCACTAAATCAGTCATTTTCCGAAAGACCCCAAGCGCGTGACAAGCGTAATAGTGCACTAAAGTTACCACTCGTGGAGCAGGTACAAGGCTAGCGGTTGCGATAAAGCGCACGCGCGATTTTTCCGTCTCTGATCAGAGACCAATCCTTGTACCTCCATGAGTTGTAACTTCAGCGCACTACAACACTTCCAACGTGCTCAGTCTTTCTGAAAATTACTGATTAGTTGTTTTCGATGACGCTCACCAAGTTTCTAATTGGAACCATATCTATGTTTTCACTAACATAAATGGTTATTTAGTATTTTAATTAATTAGCGAACTAATTAGTATCGCGCATTTTCTGACGTCCACTACGGCGAGTGATGCGGTCCCCAGAAAATTATCTTTTTACCTCAAATACACTAATCTTTTAATATTTTGTCAGGCTTCAATGAAACGCCCGATATACTAAATATATAGAACAACACAGGGGTAATGTCAGATGTGTACCTCCAGGTCCGTCACAAATTAAGAAGTCCCAGTTAAGCACTTGTTATGAGTTGTGAATGCGAAAGCAAGCCACCTGCGACCTATAGTGCTTCCGCCTCGCGTTGTCGAAGGGCCTCTTCCTCTTGCCGCCTGAAACGCTTTGTATCGCGATCCGCTTGCGCCTCGAAAGGCCTTGTTCTGTCTCCTAGCGCGTTGCGTCGCTGCTCGTTCCGCCCGCCATGTATTCGGAGACTTGACAACGATAGTGGATTTCGCTGCCTGCCTCCTCGCTCGTTGTGCTGCGGTATTCCACTCCCTTAGTTCGTTTGCGGCGTACTTGCGTGGACGGGCAGGTTTCGCTACTGGCGAGGTTGCTGCTGCCGACAATGTAGATGCTTTAGGCGCCGCCATGTTCGTCGGCGTCGAAAGGAGTAGAAGCGACCGAGCGCGCGCCACCGTGTTCCTTTTACCGGCGCGCTGCCGGCGCGGTCCCGCAGCGCCATGGGGTGGCGTTCCTTGAAACTATGACGCGAGCCAGCCAATGGGATCCTGTCCATCAAATCGCTGCTACAGGCGACAGGCTTCGCTCCATATGGGACAGGGGAATTTAGGTACCGCTTGGCGCGCGGCTTCAAAAGCTGACAACGCCGGTTCGCTCCATGATCAGTTAATTCTTTCTCTAGGTAAAGAAAGCCACCACCCGATTGCAAGGGTTCGGCCCTATTCCTCATCCCATCCATTGGAGAATAAGAAAAGTGTTTGTTCTCAATGCAGACTATCCCGAGGAGAGACACAGCACGAACGGCGTGTCTCGCGAGGAAGAGTCCGTCCTCCTGCAGCGCAGGACAGTCCAGCTACTCTCGGCGCTAGTCGAGGGCCAGCGCAGGACTCAGAAGTCCACGGTGTGCTTCCAGCGCCAGATGCTGCAGAACATGCACGTCATGGCCACGTCCATGCAGACGGTGGCGGGCGCCCTGGCGAGGGCCTGCCTGTACATGCCACCGCCCGAGAGGGGACCAGATGGCGGCTGCAGTCCTTCGTACGCGGCCAGTCTTCTAGAACATGATGACCTTACGGAATCCCGCGACGGCGACAGCCCTCAACCTCGAAGTTACGTTAAGGACGAGCCCTCCGACTAGATGCTGACGCATCTGTGTTTCACTGATACGGGTCCAAATGGTCTTGTCAAAAAGTATTCTGAGGACTGTTCGTGTAAGGACGTATTATAGAGGATTGCTCGCGTGGACGTATTACCATAACGTACACCATTAATGGTGCGTTTTACCATAAGACACACCGTTAATAAGGCGTTTAGTAGATCGTTCCGATCACTCTGATAGCATCACCCGATACTTTGAAGGTGCCTTTGCGCGTGCATTGTATCGTTATCGAATGTACCGGAACGATCTACTAAATCCCTAACATCCCTACCTGAAAAAAAAAAAAAAGAAACTATGTCAAGGCATACTTTTTTTTATCCAAGTTGTGGATATGAGTTCCCTCTTGCAAGACTTGATCATGAGTGAACTCGTGCTCGGCGTAATTGGATCATGAGTCTTGCAAAATGTAGTGTAAGGCAGCTCATGTTCACAACTTGGATAAAAAAAACATGCCTTATCATTTTTTTTATATCTATTGGGAGCACACGTTGAAGTTTGCGCAATGCACATTCGCCTTACCTTAAATAGTACAAATCTTACAACAACGAACATGAATGCCTGCTTGACTTCAAAAGTGTGCAGTGTGCATCTTTTCAAAAGTTTGGATGATGCATCATTCAATGTGGTGCCCCTCAACAAGTTGTTTCGCAAGTTTGTACTGCATTTTACTTTCGATTTCGTTCGGACCTCTAAAACGAATAGGGACATTAAACCAAAAATTTCCTCCTATATTATAATGTTGAGAAATGTGTATTAAAAAGTTTCCAGTATAATTATGAAGATACTATGATTCACGTGATTAGGAGTTATACCACAAATATCGTGACCGACAAACTCTGCCCCAAATAAAACCCCAATCAATCAGCCTCGTGAAGATGCCGCCACAGCGAACCCGTATTTGTGGCGATTGGTTCGGAGGTCATTTTGCTGATGCCTAATAGCATCGTCAGCGTAACGTACATCCTTGTCATTGTGCCTCGGCTTAATCTTCCTTGGTTCATTCCACGGTATTGTCCTCAATACGCATACAGGAATACAGATGGTTGATTCTATAGAATGTATATCAGAATCCACTTACGATCAGACGTTTCCCGATAAGAGTTGGCTGGAATTACAAATGAAATGATCAATAAAAGAATCATTCATTTCCACTGGAATCTCTTTATTGTACCTTTGGTACGGTCTCACCGGGATTTGGTCTGTGCCGTCGGGGCGGTGGATAAGACCCGAGTACAATGATTGAAGGTTACGCGTATGTACAATATGCCTTCAGTAACAACTCAACAATGGTTCTGCACGAACTCCAAAAGAGCCGCGCTTTTTGTTCAACGACGGTGGATGTTTCTGTACACTTTGACTACGAAAACTATATACAACTCGGCAACACTGGTCGTTCTCATGGCTGCTGGAAAAAAAGCACTTATTTTGTCCCAAGGTGGCTTCATAGATTTCCCACATAGTGTGCTGTAAAATCTGCATGCTAGGTGCAAATTATTATTAATATTATTATTATTTGCGGAACAGGTTGCTACACCTACGCAAACCAAAATGTATACGTGATTACATACAGTAATCTTTCGCACTGTTCACCGATGACTCGGAAAACGATGGGTCCTCGTAACCATTTCGCTCTCGTGATTCACTCGTGCGATCTTCGAAAACATCCAGCCATGCCAATCGGAAGCGCCTTGTATCTCTTCCTTTTGTTCGTAATGTTTGTCTTGTGTTGATGAGTGCCAAGTATTGCACTAAAGCCGCATTCGCACTACTCATACGCCGCACCAGAGACACGAAGTTTCTCTTCAGTCACAATGACAGTTATTTGCATACACACCTCAAGCATGGTCGAAGGCTTCATACACACGTGTGCTTCGAAATTGTCTTCAGACAACTTTGGTATGACCGATGTGACAGGGTCGTCGTACAAGGAAGAAACGGGCCTAAGTCGGGGTCTGCAGACCGTCGTTTGTACGACGTATTAGCAGTGTAACTCCGGCTTAAGAAAACTTCAAATGCTCCGATCATTTGCCCATGTCCTGGTTCTTCGCAACAGTTAGTGCACCGTTTGAATACCGGAGGTGCCAGCGAGCGAGCCGTTCCCATATCTGGTCAATGGGAGGCCCGTATTTTGGTAACCAGTTTTTACACCGCGGCCGCACTTTGGTTGAGTATAACGCGAGCGCCCTCCTCTCCGGTAAACAAAGCGTGAGTTCCTTAATGTGTGTACTTTTATTTACTGCTATAGTGTGAGATTTATACGCACAATGTATCTATTGAGAAAAAGAAAGACACGAGTTTACTCGAATGAAATCTGTGACCTCTGAAATCTCGGCGTAACCAAATAGAGCTGGTTGAAGTATGCAGTAGTAGTGCCTATGGAAGATGAGAATGCATCACGCAAACTAATGCCCGATTCAGACAATTGTGTTGCTTGCGTTCAGAATGACGGAAAGAGCAAATTTAAAGTCCCCGGGACAACTGTTTGCAGTATATGCAACGTGACAAGCAATGCGAAAATTCACTTTCTCAAGTAATCAGAAGTCAGGCTTGTCCCGGTCGTTACTCGTTTTAGTTGCTCTGGACGTAACAGAAGCTGATGTCTGAACCAACCTTTAGTGTTCGAACTTCTGTCACTATCGGGCACGTCACCTACTGGTCTGGTGCAAGAAGTGTCATTGCCAGGCCGTCATGACCTCGAACGGTCTTTGACTGTCACACCGAATGACTGACGTCACATTGTACCGGTCACTTCCCCTACCGGCTTGGAGCAAGTTATGTCCTGCACCGACATCATGACCCTGAACAGTTTGTAATCGCACCTTATGACTGACGCCACTTTGTACCGGATACCCACCCCTACCGGCCTCATGCAAGGAATGTCCTGCCACGACCTCGCGATCTCCAATGGTCTGTGGATGTGTTTGGCCGAATGACTGATGGCACTTCGTACCGGGAACATACCTGTACAGGCCGGGTGCAAGGAGTGTCCTTAACACGCCCTTGTGATCTTGGAACTGTTTGTGACTAGCAACGAATCACTGACGCCACAGCATACCGGCTTGGTATGCTGTGGTCATGACCTACCATGACCTTGCGACATTGAACAGTCTGCGATTATCACACTATATGACCACATCGTACCAGGCACGTTGCCCTATAGGGCAACGTGCCTGGTACGATGTGCTCCAGGCCGGTATACCGGCCTGGAGCAGGGAGTGCCCTTGCCACGACCTTGTGACCTTGATTAGTCTGTAACTGTCACACTGGATGACTGACGCCACGTTGTACGAAATTTTCCCGTTATTTACACTAAATCGCCAAGACCGTTACGATCTCGTGGCTGCAACGACGCTATCGCTTCACGATGACGTTGAGCGAGATGCCGTCGTTGGCGGCGACCTCGGCAAAGTCCAGGTAAGGGTCGTTGTTGTTGTTGCCACTGCCGTAGGGCCCCTCGCAGTTTCTGCTGCTGGACTGGGTGCTGCTGCTGCTGTCCTCTTTGGACCAGTCTTGCTCGGTGGCGGACGAGAAGACGACGAAAATGAGGGCACCCAGGAACTGCAGGCCTCCACTGATCACGCTCACGGCGTACAGCGGCGTCATGTGGTCGTGGCGAATCTTCTGTGAGAGGACATTACAAGCCTCTTGAGAAACTCGGACATTTGATGGATTCTTTTTTGCAGAAAAGCTGGTGGAGTATGTCCCGGAAACATTGACGACATTTTTTTATTGTTTGTTGGTCACCGCCTCCCACAATGTTTGCTAGGATTCATACACAAACGACAATTTTTTTTTAAAGACAACAATACATTGTCTGAGGGGACATACAATATCTAAAGGCAACAAATACTTGACGAGGCCATGACACCCCTTTGACTAAGGCAGCATATCAATACATGTAAATGTAACTAAGATACACTGTAAAATAGATGTAGGCAGCCACATTATGACAATTTTCTTGGTTCAAATCGAACCACTAATCTCGTTGTATGTAACACAAATAATAAAACGTATGTAATTTGTTTGGGGATATCCATATCAGACGAAGCGAAAATGTTGTAATCTAGGCAACGAAAAGCATGGCTTGGCCATTTTCCAGATGTAACTGACCGTCTGAAACAGAAAATCTCAGCAATTTACGTTACAGGCTTTATTCAAAGACGTGAAACCAAGAATAGCTATTATCAAAAAAATCATAAAAGAAGATAAAGTAGTTTCTCCTGACTCCTTGCAAGAAATGTTTTCAATCACAAGAAAGCACCACAAAACAAAACTGATATTTCGCACTCGCGGCCCGTCACCTAGTTGATAACGGACGCTTTGACAAAAGAGAGCACGTTTCTCCAACCAGGTAAACTGCAAGTTCTTGTAAACACAGAAATTGTCCCCTTTCGATATATTGCCAATGGTTTTGATTATGTGTGATTGTCGGGATTCTAGCCCTCATAGGACACGCAGACCCCCTAATCTTCTGACCCGCACAGTGATGTCTCGTTAATGTAGACACGCACTTCCCCCCCCCCCCCCCCCGCCCTGTCAAAAAAAAAAGTCCATAATGCGAGTTGTCTTCAGTAACGAGACAGAAATGCATGGATGTACCCAATTCGTACCCGGCAATGTGGTCTATATAGTGGGGTCCGCATTAACAAGACATGACTGTATTAGCACGATGGAATGTTGCCGTGTCCCCAGTCTAGTAAATAAACGAAGGCCAGTCCCAAGACCATACTGACTATTGTCCGGTAAAGCACGACCAGAATAATCGTACATATTTACGTAAACATATCTGGTTCCAATAATACTAAAATGAAAAATAAAAAAAGAGCGTATGCCCCCGCATGATTGTTGGCCACTTACCCACGTGTTGAAGATGTGGTTCATCATCGGGTAGAAGGTAAGGTCTCCAAGGGACGCCATTGCCCCGGAGAGTCCAGTGATGATGCCCGCGTGCTGAGGCGCGATGTCCAGAGGGTTCACCATGTACCCTGCGTGGAAAGAGGCCGGACATTGGCGGGTCTAGCGTCGACGCTCGTACTCTGACTGCTCAGGGCGAATTGGCACGCGGTTGTAGGACACAGCATACGGGTAAGTACAGTGTTGAGTAAAATGCATCTAAAATGCGCTTGAAGTGAAATACGAAGGAAATGAGAGGTGATGTATGTACTTCAAGTAAAGTAGTAAGTGCACCAGGTGCAATGTACTTGATGTAAAGTACTATAGATAAAATTTACTTTCAAAGTAAAGCACAAGTAAATTTTAACGCAATCTTTTATGGGGCACTTTCATTCCCCGACACAGTGATCTTTTTAACTGGTATGCATCGCCCCAGGGGTAATCGGTACTGCATCACTTATTTTCCGAAATGGCGGCGAATATTGGATAAAGTCACGTGGCCACAAAGTAAGAGTTATTTTCACAAATGGCGCCAAATTCAGAAGTCTGACTTCTAAATTTGGCGCCGCTTGTACTGGCTTGGTGCACTTAAGAGGATTAAACGTTCTAGGAGAGAGCACAACGTCAGCCCTGCAGCTTTCGCAAGCAATCCTTCGTAAAGGAGTGGCTTTTCCTTTACGAAAAAAAACAAACAAACAATGAGTGTGCAGGCGAGCTGGCGATAATTAATCATAATTTCACACCTCAGACTGTGGTGCGGAAAAATTAAGAAACTTTCAAGTCGAAGGAAAAGACAACGGAGGAGAACGTGTCAAAACATTGAGGCGCTCTCCTCTGTTGTCTTTTTCTTCGACCTGAAAGTTTGTTAATTTTTCCACACCGCAGACTCAGGTGTTACATTATGTGTCCTCTCCTGATATTTTTAACCTCCTCGCTTGCGCTGACCGAGCGAGAAGTGGCCACAGTTCGCAAAGCTACGGGAAAGCCGCCCCCAGAACAAACGGAGCAATGCGTCGTCTGCTCGCGTTTCCGGTGAGAGTAAAATATTCCTCCCACTATGTTTTCAGGATTGACAAAGCATCATTTTGTGATAGGAAATTGAACAAGGACAAATTTTGGGAATGTACTTTGGAGTAAGCAGTTATACTTTCCTCGGAAAGGATACCAGAAATTACATGCTCAGAGCCTTGAGAATATACTTCAAGTAAAGTACAAGTTTTCTAAACCGGCTTGAAGTAGCACTTTAAGCACAATGTACTTAAAGTACTTCCCAACACAGGGTAAATCTATGTTGGATGAAAATAGGGCGCGATGCATTTAACACGAACATACGATCACCACATGACTAGCAGTCTGCCCGTGAGGCTGCCGGTACCTTGAAAAATGCTGATATGTGGCACGAACATAAATGCATAAAAATCTTGTGGTGACGTAGCCGGAAGTGACGTCACCGGCGCCGTCACTTCCGGGTCTCGGACGTTCCCGCTAGAGCCACTAAATGAGCTGCGCTTAGAGTATCGGCACCCCGTTCCCCGATATTGTTGTGGGCGCCACCATCTTGGGGCTTGTGCAGAGCAGACGCAACTACCGACCCTCATGATTTAAAAGGTACGACTTACTCAGCATTAAATTTGGTGTTAGGAAGCTCATGTAATATTTCTTTGCTTTTTCGCGAACTGTGTAAACATTTGTGAAGGACGGAAAAGCGTTTCTTGTGATTTCAGATAAAGCTTCAGATAACTGGCAACTATGATTTTAAGCCACAATATGGCCAAGTGTCGTTACTCTGAAGCGTAGCTTATTTAGTGGCACTAGTTCCCGCCATAGAGTTATTATAATGTACGCTAGAGGTTCAACTGGCGCTAGTGTGCTGCTGCGAATTGAAGCAGACAGCAACCAGTCGGAAATTGACTTCCGGTAATGCTTTTCTATAGAAAAAAGCGAGTGCATTTTCTCGCTGCGCTCGATTACAAGAGCAAATATCACGAATGTTTTTGTACGTACTAGGCACATTGGAACATTTCTCAGTCACGCAGACGAAATAATTGGTCAGTTACGGCGTTTTTATTTGAAATTCGTGGCATGAAAAACGGTGCTAAAACCGCGTCGTACATGTATTTGTGTGCACTGTCGGACACTATTAGCGCGAAGACGGCGTCGGCGCTTTCCGCCATGGGGGATATACGTGTCAAACGAACAAAGGACATGTGGAAAACCAAGAGGGACGGCAAAAACTACGCATTAACACTGGATAAGTAACTCCTTGTGCATGCAGGCGATCAAAATAAATTGAAAGCCGCGTAATATAGTCCGATTTGCAATAAATAGGTACTGCTTTATTTTTCTGCCCGTGAATATGTGCGAAGATGCATGTTCTGGGTTCAAATCATCAACAACACGCTCCAAACCTTTACAAATAAGGAGAAGTCAAAGAACAGGTGCCCGATAAAAACTGCCTGACATAGGAAATAATAAAAAGACACACCTTTCGTAGCCCACGTGCTTTATTTTTTACATTCGAATGTTCTTTAACCGATCGTAAAGATGCACGACGGATTCATATTCATAGAGTGACAGGACGGGCATATTAGCAATATATAAGCGCCACCGGAATGCTAGCGAACCGTGAACACACTCTACATTCCTTTCGATCGTTAGTTAGCTCAGAATCGTCGCTCGTTTTTACATACCTGCCATGGAACAGATGTTTGGGCCTGAAATATAGCGAAGCGTAACATCGTTCAGTGGTAAAGAAAAGGGCTGTAATTAAAGCAATTACACTTTTACAATATTAATAAAGGTACATACTATCCGGTACAACCAAAATAATAAAAGTTATTCATGTTATTTTCCGGCGAAGAGACAAAATTCACGTGCGTTTTCCCATGGGAATGTACAGGAGCACCGCAAAAGTAGAGTGGTTGCTCTCTGCTTCAATTTGCCTCCCGGAAGTCGCATAGACACTAGCGCCAGTTGAACCTCTAGCGTACATTATAATAACTCTATGGTTCCCGCACGGCCGTTTTGCGGTTTGGATTGAGCCAAACCGCAAAACGGCGAGAAGGTATAGTGCCTACACCGCGCAGGTAAGAATTTGCGAGCCATTTAGCTGGAGGCAATTATGCGTTCGGCTAGCATCAAGTTTGTCTATACCCGTTTTCACCCAAAGAAAAAAAAAAAAGAACAAGTTTTACGGATTGTTCATACGCGGCGCGAAGTAGTTCTTACGAGATAATTGTTTGTCGGAGAAAAAAGTGATGCTTTTGGCGTTTGGAACGTGTACGCCTTCATAAGATAACATATATATCATCTAAAAATTCTCCTACATATATGTCTTCATTATCAACATAAAGGGGGAAATTAGTATTGCTCCGCGAGAAGACGGACTTTTCTTACTATGGTTATTGAGTGAAAACGAGGTATGTTCCCGTCATTGCGCCTCGAAAGGGCAAGCTTTCAAGTTTTGTAGTGCACCTGGCTCACCAAAGCAAGTAGTTTTACGTTCATTATTTAAGACAATCTTGAGACAGGGGAAACGAGAAGGACAAACACGACGAAGTCTCAAACAAACCATGCTCGCCTGCGCCTTATCACTCATTTCAGCATTTTTACGTCGTGTTTTCATTGTGCGTCATGAGCACTGCTCTCTATTGTAGTAGGCTGTATCGCGGATTGAGGCTTGTTTTGCTATGGTCGAGTGGCACCACCAGAAGTTATCAGTTGAAACCAGCTGGGGAAGACAAGAAAAAGTGTAATTTCTTCCGCTTCTAAGCTGTTGTCGGAACTGAAAGCTTTTGGTTGCTGTTCAGGAAGCCAGTCAAATAAGTTGTGCACAAACATTAAAACTGACATCCCTCACAGTTCTCATAAATTAATGTTTTGCGGTCGAGAGTGATTCCGCTGGGCGAAAAACGACGTGCAGCTCAATGAGACGAGAGTCACCTACTGTCAGCTCCGAGCGCTGGCAAGCGGAAGGGAGAGGGCAAATAGTACGTGTGGTTGCCGTGCGGTGGAGCCACCTAGGCGTACAAACCTGCTGTGTAATGAAGCCAACCACCTCTTCTGTAGGAGGTTCAATGATGTCGCCCCAGCAGCACCGACAGCAAGAAATCTAAATGACAAGACTGATAGCGCCGGATCAGCTCGCCATTTTTCAACGGAATATTACTTCTTATTTTCTACCTCTTCACCCGCACACGACCCGGCGCCAACTATTTCTATGCGCGCGATTCAAGGTGACCGCCAAAGCCATAAACTGCCGCCAAAGCAGACGGTCAAGCGGCCAAGCGTTCTCCTCGTTCACGCTGCAGAAGCGAAGCCTGGCCGTGCTCGTTTCGTTGTTTCGTATTTTGTCTCAGCGAAACTCGTTTGAATCAGCGCGGTCACATCCAGAGCAGTGTTCCACATGTTGTTAAAAAAAACATATACATGATATATCTTCAATAATAATGTAAATGCAACATGCTATAAAAAAAAAAAAAACGAACGTCCGCCAGGCGGCGCTGCCTAGCTGTACGTGCGTCAGCAGTCATGATTTTTAACAATGATGAAGTTGAGAGGCTGAAGATACAGAATATTACAGTTGAGAAAGCTAGTAAATACAAGTATCTAGGAGTATGAATATGTGACGGTGCAGAATATCTCAGTGAGCATGAAAAGTATATAATAGGTAAGGGCAACAGAAATGCAGCTGTAATGAAAAATAGAGCACTTTGGAATTACAACAGGTATGAGGTGGTGAGAGAGATTTGGAAAGGGGTCATGGTCCCTGGCTCGACTTTTGGAAATGCAGTGTTATGCATGAAATCCGAAGTGCATGCAAGACTAGAAATAAAACAGCGCGGAGTAGGTAGGCTGGCTTTGGGGGCACATTGCAAAACGGCAAACCAGGGAGTACAAGGAGACATGGGATGGGCGTCTTTTGAGAGCAGGGAAGCGATGAGCAAGATAGAATTTGAGGATCGGTTGAGGCAAATGGATGGGGACCAATGGGCACGAAAGGTTTTCAGCTATTTATACATGAGGAGCATAGACACAAAGTGGAGACAGCGCACTAGGAAATTAAGAGGAAAGTTTTTAGGCTATAGTGGAG